AAAACGAAGTCAAAAACCAAAACAGCGAATCAGACAATGGAGCGACGAAGAGACGAGAATGAAATCCAAGTTTGCCAAATATGCCCTGCCTAATCTAAGTTATAAATCCCGGACAGAACGGGCCAAATCGCGGAGCCAGACGTGACGCGTCTGCTCGGGCCAAGAGCTCGGCCAGAAGTCGGGGGAGCGCGCGGCCCGACGCAGCGGGCAGGGCCCCCAGACATGCGCAGAAGCACTCGGAGACAACGTGGCTGCGGATCGGAGCGCGGATTGGTCACTGGCCGACGCACTGCGGCAGCGCAGGCCGCAGGCACGCGGTCGCATCGTGATGGGACAAAGTTCACTAATGGGCGGTTCCCACATGGACCGGTAGATGTCGGGCCGGACGGTAACGGACGAAAACGTACAACATCGGGAGACATCGGGAGGAAGCGGAGGCGCAGTCAGCTGATTATGTCCGATCTCTGACGGTGGATATGGGAACCGGTGGTTTGCGGCGTTTCCACGGGCCGGTTTGTGTTCGATCCCGGTGACGATATCGCCCCGTCAGCTCGTGGGGCAAAAGTTGAACACTGTTGAACTTTTTGTCCGTTTTCGTACGTTGACAGTTCAGAAGAAAGGCGATCTGAGCGCGCGGATATACATTTTCCCTACATCAACATAGTGAGAAGACCAGGTTGTTGCACCTTTGTTTCATTTGTAGGAAGAATTGCATATTCATTATTATGTATGATTATGCATCTGAATGCAACTATGTAGATATTGAGGCTGCTATCTGTTCCAACCATGGGTGAAAGGGTTACTTTTCCTTTGAAAGTGAAAGGAAAGAAAAAGGTTGAAAGGAAAGTGAAAAATGAAATAATAGATAAAAAACAATAATACAATGTTACAGCTGAAATGATGAAAATTCGCACTTTCTTGTCGTAAATTCGCTGCTTGCCTTTCCCAGACGTACCTACCACAGGCACGTGTCAACCAGCCTGTCTTTACTTACCATTTATAATATAGATTGTGACACTCTTGATAACACTGTTCAAACCACGCAGTGCACAACCCCAAACCCGCGCGCCCACGCTCTCTCTCTCGCTCTACCCGCGGTAATCTCCCTCCCCTCTTCTCCCGCCGGCGACGCTGGCCCCGCGCGTACCGTCTCCGACACCGCAATCTGCCGACCGCAGACTGCCGCGCGTACGGTCTCCGTCACGGATTGCGGTGTCAGAGACGGTACGCGCGGGGCCAGCGTCGCCGGCGGGAGAGAGGGGAGAGCGAGAGACGCTTACGATGTTTCCCCATATCTCACGATGTCTCCCTGTGTTACCATATTCGCATCGGTGCTACCAACTCTAGGCTGTTTTCAACTTTTGGGCAGATTACGCCAAACCAACGATTTCTTCCGTTTTCTCACCGTCCCATCTCTACCGGTGTATGTGGGAACCGCGCGTAACAGACACGTCCTGGGCCGCCCCCCAGCGCCGGGGCGGGGTAGCGACGTCACAAGTCGGCGCGCGAATCGGTCTGCGCCGGGAACTCCCGTGCCGGCCGGCGACACACGTGGTTACCACAACTTCTTCAGGAGGCAAATGTCGACCACCCAGCGGAAGCATGGTCCTGCAGAAAACAAAGGTAATGCATAAGGTACAAACATTATCTGATGAAACAGCCCCTTCTGTTGGCTGTTATTAAACTTTTAGCATAACATAACATAACATGTATTCTGTGTATATTACATTTGTTGAAGTAAAATACTGCTGGCTATTTCAAAACCAGAAAATGAAATTATATTGTGGCATAATTCACATGCTCAGCTATCAGTATCAAATAATAAATTAATTTAAAATTTGGCATATTCTATAAAACACATTCATAGAATATTCTACTTCACGTCACAAGGACTCACAATCTTTCTGTTGGGTGTTTGATTGACGCATTAAAGGGACTATCCCACCTTCTAAAATGTTGTTAAAACCAGTTAAATTGTGCCCGACTTTATAGATTGGATGACTAGGAACACGGTTCTGGCATTTATTTTTCATTAAACATCTTAGGCTTCCCATATTCCAAACACAAACTTTCAAATATGTGACGTCACAGCCCAAAATTAACTCCTTCCCCAGGCCACATTACTGTCATAAAGCTCATTCTTTTTACTCTGTAGGCACCACAACAAAGTTCAGACCAAGTTTTAAGCAATTTTGCAACGAACAAACCCATTTAAATCAGAATGACTAAACGAGGTGACGTCACACTAATGGTCGCTCCATGTTGAAGATAGGGCCTTGTACAAGGCCCATTTTCAAATGAAGGGAACGAATTTCTTCAACACCAAGAGGCCGCGGGGGTTGCAACCTAGATAGATAGTGGTTTCTGAACCTCGCCGCAAGCTTGGCTATCTCAACTCAAACCCCATGTTAAAGGTGGGATAGTCCCTTTAACTAAGTTTGTCTTAGGTTTTATTATTGCAAAAAATTCATATTGCATTATTGTATCAAAATACTGCCAGCAATAACAAAACAAGAACATGAAATGTCAATGAGCAAGCCGCCTTTCCTAAAAATGGGTTACTTTGAAAAGAATTTTAGTTTCTTTTGAGGAAAAGGAGAAATGATTATCAGGTAATTATCCGTAAACCACTCAACCAGCAAGTGGCTGGGCTGGGTGGTTTCACAGCAAACATCAAGCCAAAACATATATTTACATTTATCTAACAATTAAGCCATTTGACTACTACAAGGATATGTGAGCAAAACAAGCATCCAATTATCCAATGTTGGCTTCCTTGCAAAGTTTATGCCTTATTTTATGAAAATGTGTCAGTAGAATATGATACTTATCATCGAATATTATTTAATTTACGATTTATTTCGATCGAAACGCACATGGAGTCCCGCGCCATTTTCGTCGACGATGAATATGATCGTGTTTCATGAAGAGATAAGGGGTTTCATTGGTCTTTCAAAGCAATAATTTGATGCAAAATTTGGTAGGAAATAATATAAAGCTGGTTCAAATGGCCATCAACCATTTAAAACACCGAAAATACTCACAACTCCGACCCAACGACCACGCAGCACCGCGCACGCCACACAACTGGCACAATGCCAAAACTGCTGTCACAGCAGAAATGTTTTTTTTTTTTCTCGATTGCAATTGTGAAATTATTTATTAAACAGAAGATGATCTTTCCGAAAAAGCGACTGATTTTATACACAGATGCATGGAAAATAAAAAAAAATCCCGGTAAGTTTATTTGTATTGTTTTGTCGATTTTGACATGCTCCTAGTTTGCAGCCATATTTCGATAAGTTCTACAGGGAGTTCAGAATTATTTCAGGACCAATCTTTTCCTCGTTCATTTTCCCGTCAATCGTGAAATTTTTAGAGCGGAACAATTAGTTTCCAGGCGGTCCGAGCGGTTTTCGTGAGAAGGGTGCAAAAATCGGCGTCGTTTTTAGAGCCTCGACACCAGCTCAACACAGGACCCTATGGGAGACGGTGAAGTAGCGGAAGCAATAAATAGAGCGCTCTAATTTTAGCTTATTTCCCTGGTGTGTCACCGACTGACATAGTAGATATCTAACATTTTGTGTGTGTGCAGTGAAACGTTAGGTATGACGCCTTGTGAGTCGGCCTGCCGAAATCGAATGAAACTAAAAACACACATTTAGAGGTAGGTAGGTATGTACATGAGCGATATTTATTGTTTTCAGTTTTCGTTCGACAATCGCAGACTTTTAGTGTTTAATAGCATCACAATAAATCACTTGCCTGATGACTCGACATTCTACGTTAATGATCGATACGTTGTCGACAAAGGTAGGTAGATACATAGGTAGGTAGGTACCTACCAAGAAAAGGGAAAGAAGTCAAAGCGATATACCTGATCAAACGTACCAAAATCACTATCGGTAAAAGGCAGCATAAGTAAACACAGCTCCACTGGTTAAAGGGACCCTCCCACCTTAACATTAGATTTGAGTTGAGATAGCCAAAATGGGGTCCCTGGCTCACAATTACCGGTTTCGGCACTCACAACATCGAGAAATGCCTTAAATCGGAAATATTGAATTTCAAAATTGCAGCATTTTGATTCAGAGGGGCTAATGCATAGGAATACCCCTCTGAATGTGTGACGTCATCGCAGATATCTAACGATTTTTAAATGTTTGACTAAAACGTTTTGTAGCACGCGGTAGTATATGCTGCTTTGCGCGCAACAAATGCCGCACTTTTAAATAAAGTCGCTAGGAACAGCGGCGATCCCAAAAAGTAAACAAATGTAAAAGTCTAATATCTTGAAAACCGGTGAATATTTTTCGATGAAATTTGGTAGATATTGGTTTTCGCTCTTTCTGAACCGAGCGACATCACTTTTATGCCAATTCATTAACTTTTTTGAAGGTGGGAGGGTCCCTTTAAAGGGACCCTCCCACCTTAACATTAGATTTGAGTTGAGATAGCCAAATTGGTGGCCATGGCCTGAAAATACCGGTTTGGGCACTCACAACATCGAAAAATGCTTTAATTCGGAGATATCGAATTTCAAACTTGCAGTTTTCGGATTCTAAGGGGCTAATGCATTGGTATGCCCCCTTAGAATTTGTGACGTCAGCGGAGATCTAACGATTTTAAATCTTTTACTAAAACGTTTGGTATCACGCGGTGGTATATGCTGCTTTGCGCGCAACAAATGCCGCACTTTCAAATAAAATCGCTGGGAACAGCGGAGATCCCAAAAAGTAAACAAAAGTAAAAGTCTAATATCTTGAAAACCGGTGAATATTTTTCGATGAAATTTGGTAGATATTCGTTTTTGCTCTTTCTGAACCGAGCGACATCACTTTCATGCCAATTCATTAACTTTTTTGAAGGTGGGAGGGTCCCTTTAAGCCGCGGTTACCGCGTGTAATGCAAGTAACAGGTGTCATGTCATGTCCTATCCCCAAAGGTGTCCATATGTAGAGACATGGCCGATTTCCTTTATCATTCATATTTACTTATCCATAAAGAAAATCTGACAAAATAAAATTTATTGTCAAAATCATCGAAAATCAATAAGAATCAAATAAGATAATGCTCGTGGAACAGCTGTTCGATCGATTCTGTCAGACAGACAGTTCGTGACCTAATTCCACCGTTTTTCTTCATCTCGTGGCATAAGCATGAGCCACTATAAACACAAAGCACTTCTTATCCCTGAAATGAAAAAAAGAATAACTGTATACCTCCTACAGCACACACCTTCAAAACAATGTCTCTCCAGGCGAAGAAGGCAACGCTAACACTTAACAGTGAGGCAGATGCTCAATGCTTCACATCAGTCACCTATGTAGGCATGCAAAAGGATGAGAGGCAGTAGCTGCCAGTCCAAGTAAAACTCTTGTTTTAAATTAGGTAATGCGAGACACATAAAAACATAACATTAACATGCTGGCGAATAAACATCGTTTGCTAACTGCGTTGGCAAGAAGTGAGCGCAACGCAGCAAGCATTGCGAGCGCAATGAAGCGAGCAAGCAGCGCGCAATGAACTGACTAAGGGTTGGCCGACCCCGACACAAGCCTTTCAGACCGACATCGAGCCATTGCAAAATAACACACGAGAAAACCAACCCGCACATATGCAGTCAGCGTCAAAGAAGCAAAGTTCAATAACATGAGCTGTTTCTAGGCGAACCTTGCGCCGTCACACGCCACACGGCTCGCAAAGTACGTTCGTGTCATCGCACTGCTCCGTCACATCTTACAGGCCGTCCAGTATCCGGACCAAACACTGCTGATCCTTCTGCGGCACGAGCACGATCCCTGATCGGCGGGAAAGGCGCAGCTGCTCAGTCCCGGAATGAATCCCACTAGTCCCATCACCGGAGACGAGCACAATATCACGTCACAAGTGTTTTATGTAATGCTCTTCTTCATATATCTTCATTCATCTTCATGGTATATTACATCAAATGTTAAATACAAAGCACTTCTTATTCCTGAAATGAAAAAATGAATAGCTTTGCACCTCCTACACATACACATCTCGTTGACAGTGTCCACATCGTCTTCATCAGCGTTAAGATCAGCCTCCACGATAGTCTGCACCACCTGGCACAGATAGCTCTGCGCTCGTTCACGCAGAGGTGGCTTCTTCTTCTTGGGCTCGCTGGCCGATTTCTTCCCGGCCTTTCCGTACTTCTCGTCCAGCTGACGCCGTAAATCCCGAGCTCGGGACCGGACTTCCTTGTCGGGCTCGTGGCAACATGAGCAAGAAGACCGATGAAACACCGGTGGCGAACCTCTTCACGCTCCTTTTTTCGACGATTTCGGTTCTCCCTCTAGAAGGTTCTCGATGGTAAGCAGCAGGTCGTTGCCCACCTTGTCTGACGAAGGCTTCTCGTCTTCGTCAGGGTCTTTGTGCTCCTCAGCTTGGTCGGATAGTTTGGAACTGGGACTGACTGAGATAGCTCGGACAGTTTGAGGGCGAGGACCACCGATCGTAGGAAGTGCGACACCACGCTCTCTCACCACGCTCCTTTTGATCCGCGCTGGTTGCCGCTCTGGCGTCCGCGGCCTCGGTCTTTTTCGTCATCAGTGGGGACGTCACTTGTGTCGTTTTTCGTCCCTTTTTCTCCTCGGACGGGTCGATGGTGAATCACTTCCGCTGCTCCGACTATCGTCTTCAGAGGAACTGTCGCTCTTGCGCCTTCTGTTTCTATTTCCTTTACGCTCAGCGTCCTTTTCACGCTTCTTTGTTTCGCGCTGTTTGTCACTTTTACGTCCGTTGGCACGGTCTTTACCTTGAGCTGTGGAGGCGTCACTTTTGCGTTTTTCGTCCTTTCTTTCGCTTCGACGAGTTCGCGAGGCGTGGCCCCCGCTGGTACGACTACCGTCTTCAGAGAAACTTCCACTTTTCCGCCTTCTGTCTTTGCTTCGTTTGCGTCCAGCCTGTGGAGAAGTGTCACCTTTCCTTTCCGCAGAGCCTCCATTGAGCTCCCTACCGCCCTTTTCACTTTTTCCTCGGACTTCCGATCTCCCATCATCACGAGGACCGTCTCCCTCCAAACTGGCGTTGAACCGTTCCTCTTTGTCTTTTCCTTGGCGTCTTTCCCGTTCTTCTTTGTCTTTTTCTTGGCGTCTTTTCTCCTTCTCTTCCTCTGCTTCCGCCTCCATCCTTTCCGCATTCTCCTGCATCTTCTCCAGCTCTTCAGGTCCGAGGCGGTAAATGCAGTTGATCTTAATCTCTTTTGACGTTCCTGACTTAGAGTCTTTCGTGGATCCTTTCGATGTCTTTCCTGACTTCGAGTCTTTCGCGCATTCTTTCGCGGTTACTGTCATAATGCCATAGGCATCGACGTCGAAGACGATCTTGAGCGTCATCTCGCCGCGTTTTACGGGTTTGATGCCATCCAGCAGAAACTCGCCTAGGAGATGATTGCTGCGAGCGTTAGGATGGTCTCCCGCGTAGATGTAAACTTTTGCGGTGGTTTGATCGTCTTCTCCCAAGACGAAATCGTGCGCAACTCTGATGGGCACCTCACTGTTGCGTTTGATGAGTATCTGGAGGTGGTTCTCATCCTCTTGTACCCCTAGTGAGTATGGGATCACGTCAATCTGGCGATCCACACCGGAAACATCCTGTCCGGAGAGAATAGCCGCCTGGACTGTGGCGCCGAACGCCACTGCATTGATGCGAAGATTTAGCTTCTTGCCGTCAAAGAAATCTTTAAGAAGCTTGCGGACCTTCGGAATACGCGTCGAGCCACCGGCGAGGATAACTTCGTCGATGTCAGTTCTCTTCAGATTTGCATCATCCAGAGCGCGCTGAACCGTATCCAGTGTTTTTCGGTAAAGATCTTCACAGAGTTCGTCAAAACAGGCCCGAGAAACCTTCCCTGCAAAATCGATCCGCTCAAACAGGGAGTTAAGTTTGATGTGAGCCCCCAAAGAGTTCGACAGAGTCTTCTTCGCCTCTTCACACGCCAACTTGAGTCTCTTCGTCGACATGGGGCTGTTGCGGGGATCTATCTTGTGCTGACTCTTAAACTCATTTGCGAAATAATTGACGAGTCGGTAATCGAAGTCATCGCCTCCAAAATGTGTATCGCCCGCCGTGGAAATCACTTGGAAGCCTTGATCTGTATACGCGAGAACGGAGACATCGAACGTGCCACCTCCCAAGTCGAAGATGAGTACCTTCTGCCCTTTCTTTAGCTTCCTGTCCAGGCCGTTTGCCAGCACGGCAGCAGTGGGCTCGTCAATGATGTCCATGACGTCCAGGCCGGCCATTTTTCCAGCTTTCTCGGTGGCCTGGCGCTGGGCATCAGTGAAGTGAGCCGGCACCGTCATGACAGCTTTGGTGACCGTTTTCTTGAGGTAGGCCTCGGCCGTCGACTTCATTTTAGTGAGCATCATGGAGCTCATCTCCTCGAAGGTGAACAGCTTCGTCATTTCCATGTACTGCACCTCGACCTTCGGAATTCCTCGGTCTTTAAGCACTTTAAACGGCCATCGCTTCATGTCCCTTCGCAGTTCCTCGTCGTCAAAGTCACGACCGATCATGCGCTTAGCATCGAAGACTGTGTTCTCCGGGTCTCTAGGCCACTGATTCTTGGCGACCTCTCCAGCAAGCCACTTCATTTCGTTGAACGTCACATAGCTGGGCGTCGTGCGGTTGAAGTGATCGTTAGGAATGATCTCCACCTTACCGTTCTGGAAAACTCCTACACATGAATATGCAGTGCCCAGGTCAATACCAATCACCGGTGCTTCTGAATCAGGCATGATGTTGCTGTTTTACACAATGCAGGCGTCAGGCGGAAGATGACGGTGATGCCTCTGAGACGTAGATGAAGAATAGTGAAACACTCGCACTAAAAACGATACATGTCGCGTCGTGGTGGCTGTTTGGCGCCACGACGAACGCTCGGGTCTTTGCTGAGGCTCAGCTACTCCAAAAGCTGATCGCACAGCTGTTCTTGATACTGCCGAGGATACTGCCGACCACAGTCAGGTCCGACTGTCAGCGTGGAGTGGTTACCCCACCCTGTGCAAACTTGACAGGCCTGCAGATAACCCTCGGCCTATCGAATGTACAAATAGTCTCGCTGATTGCGATAGTCCAATCCACTCGGGCAGTGGGCACTCGCCTTGGCGCCACCACTTGTTTCAAACTTCACGATGCTTGATGTACACCGTTTACTCCTCCGTTACTCCTCCGTGATTTTAAAGCGACTCTGATCACTAAAGCACCGCTAGTACCCGTCAGTCTGCACCGTTGTGATGAGTATTTTTCACAACTTAGAGCTTGGTCTTGCTGTTTGTTTAGTCCGTTGCCTCGCGTCGGTCGTCCTGATCAGCGGCCGGTGCAGAATGGCACACTCTGCATTGGTAATCGCAAGGCGCAGTCACCCGCGGTACGGCGGCCGCTCTGAGTCACAACTCTCACCACCAGGGCTCATCAGCTACTGCGCGTCTCCGGCCGCCGCGCCGGCGCCAGCCCCGGCACGGGCGATACCAGCGGGCGCCGCGCCGGCCGGCAGTCGCACGGGTGATCCCAGCGACGGCTAGAAGGGGGCGGCGCGGTACACCACACTGTTCACAATTGTTCTTGTCTTGCTCAGAAACTTCCCAACTCACCCGACTGGATGTTCCTTTCTCCTTCCCCGAGTTTCTCACCTTCGGCCACTTGGATTTGGAAAATGGAAGCCTTCTAAAGCAGCTTTTTCGGCGTGTCTCGGTGTTCGGCAGATTTTTTACTTCTCTCGGCTTGTGCTGCCATTTCCTATTGTTCCGTTATGAGAATGGATAGCTTAGAAGAGGTGTCCAGTCACTCGTAGCTCTTTGTGATTCTTCTCAAGCTTTCGAATCAACCGTTCGGAACCCTTGATGATATTCCACTACTGGCGGCACTCCTGCTGTTTCCTCACTTCTGGTGTCTCACTAACTCACTCCTGGTGTCTCACTAACTCACTCCTGCTGTCTCACTAACTCACATCGTCCACCGCTTGCCACAGGCTTCACTGCCCCACTGCCTAACCACAGGCACCATGCAGCTCGCCCCCGACGCTGCAGTAGTCCCTGATAGCACCATGTAGGTATGTGTTGATAAGATATCTTGATATGATGTGCTGTTTTAACATGACCGACTACTCGTCATAGAAAATTGTATTCTGTATTCTGTATTTTGTATTTCTCATCGCCGTCTACAGGTGATGAGAAATACAGAGAAATAGGTAGAATTGGACAGATTTGACCTTGCTCAGCCTCCCTGTGACGTCACAAGTCAAAATTGAGGTCTTCGATAATTCAGCTTGTACACATTGATGAGGTCTTTTGAATGCCGTTTGGATTTTTGTGGACCCGACTTTTGGTTCCCATTATGTTTTGAACCCGTTCCGCGGACCGGCGCGGCGGCTTGTGGGCTGTGCCAAGGTGACTATAAATAGTTTCGATAAGGTAACATAACAAGAGCGCTAGAATTGACTACCAGAATTGGATCCGAAGGTCAAATGGGTCACGTGACTGTCAAGTTCAGATGAACAACACAGAGTTTTGGGAGGGGCAAACCATAACAATTTAGTGGTTCTTTCCACGCACCGTACCTGAGCGTGATGTTAAAATTATGCCGTTTGGGAGGGGCAATTGCCGTATTTGCCCTCCCCTGGATCCGCCACTGCAGGCACGAACCGAACAGTTGTGTCGGCAGCAGTGACAGAGGATGCAACAGTTCCGGAGATACGACGGGGGCCCTTTGCCCCCCCCCCCCAGCCTGGACCTGGAACCGGTCAGACCTCAACAGGTCACGGGTTGTAAACAATCAATCACATTTGCAAGCCAAGATAGTCATGCTGACCATGGGGTACACGAGGCTTTGCACTCAATACCCCACGTTTCAAAAAAAAAATGTCGCAGCTCCCATGTCCAACACTGAATGCCAGGGAGCCTCCGGCTGGCAGATGAAACGTCCAGGGATGACCTCATACAGGCTACATCTCCCAGTATAATTTTCATAAGGGTCATGACTATCCATAGGTTAAGGTAGGCATCTATTCTATACTATTCTATAGGCCTATCAGATAATTTTTATTACGATATTTTTCTTTTAGCAGAAGGCATCATTGGAAACTTAGTTTAGATACACACGCATTTCATAAAAAAGCAGCTCAGCAGCGTTGTCATAAGGATTATCCAAAATCACTAAATTTAACCCTTGTATCGATCTGCCTATTTTCCTACAAAATAAACGCACCAAAAATAGGCAAGTGGTAATACGAAACACGAGCAGCTAGAATGACATGGATACCTTGCTAAACCTGTACCTCCCCGCTCCCGAGGTTTGGAGAAGCGGTGGGTTCCCCCCAACATATCCCCACTCCAGATTCCTCAACATTTCCCCGCCGCTCGACATCGGGGAAGTCCCGGCACAACACCGGACCATAGTGTCATCATACCGCCACACTGGGAGCCCAGATACAGCGGGGAAGTCTATTTTTGGCAGCCGGCTTAAGCTCACGTCTGAGACGCCGAAGCCTGCCGTGCAGGAGTCTAGAAAGGTCGGCCCTGAGACGTTATCAAGGAGGCTAGGTCTTTTTTTTTTTTTGCTTCATGTCAAATTAATGGGGGATAAGGCAAAACAAGTTTCGCCTTTCTATCCCTAAGCGTTCATGAGGCATCGCAAATATTCGCCAGGGGAGGCGAAAAACGCCCCCCCCCCCCCCCTTCTGGGCCAGCGAGGGTTAATGGTTAAGCTCAATACGTGTGCATGAAACCTGAAACCATAATAATTTTGAATGGCAGCATCTAGGGGCAAGCCGCAAGGTGCTCATGGATTTTGCAGATCGGCGTATCAGACAACAGTCGGGTCACCTCAAGCTTGCCCCCATTGGCGAAAATTCGTGGTGCCGCCACTGCCCTATCCCCCCCCCCCGACGAATCCCCACTCCAGATGCCCCGACATTCCCCCGCGGCTCCAATGAGGGGAAGTCCCGGCACACCACCGGACCATAGTGTCATCATACCGCCACACTGGGACCCTGATACCGCCCTGCCGCGTGACTCAGACGTCGCCGGGCCCCGACGCGAGGAAGCGGTGCTATCATGCAGGGCGCTATCAGGGGCACTGCAGTGTCCGCAGCGAGTTAGACGGATGCATTGGCAACACAGTACTGGCAGTGAAGCCTGGGTGTGAGCGTTGGATAAAGTGAGTGAGAGACCTGGATTGCTGCCAGTGGTGAAAGATCATTGAGTTTGCGAGTTTGTATAGTTATGAAAGGTTGAGAAGCGAGGTAAGAAAGGTTGAGAAGAATTACGAAAAGCTGTAAAGAGCTAAGAGTGACTAGACAGCTCTTCTTAACCATCCTTAGAACTGAGAAATAGGAAAAGGCAACACAACCTGAGATAAGAACAAAATCTGCCGAAAACCGAGACATGCGGAACACGAAGCTGCTTTAGAAGGGTTTATTTCTGCCAAATCCAAGTGACTGAAGGTGAGAAACTGTAAGAGCGAGAAAGAAACAATCGGTCAGGTGAGTTGAAAAGTTTCTGTGGCGAGACAAGAACCACTTTGAACACCGCGGCCCAACTCTGTGCGTGAATGGAAATACACTCATGAAAACGGCGCTGACGGATGAGTGTTGGATGTATTTTAGCGGTCAGAGTCGTTTATAAATCGCAAAAAGTAAACGGTGAACATCTAGTATCGTACAGTTTGAAACGAGTGGTGGCGCTAAGGCGAGTGCCCAGCCCGAGTGGATTGGACTATCGCAATCAGCAAGACTATTTGAACATACGATAGGCCGCTCGAGGGTTATCTGCAAGCTAGTCAATTTTGCAGAGGGTGGGCTAACCACTGTGGACTGACACTCGCCCCCGTCGGCAGAATCTTCGCGAGGGTCAAGAAGAGCTGTGCTGCTTGCTTCTCTCGTAGCTGCAACCTCGTCATTGGTACAGACGTTCGTCGTGGCTCCCAGCAGTCTCCACACCGCTGCATTCTTCGTTCTTAGTGCAACTGCTTCAGCATTCATCGTCTAAGTCTCAGTGGCGCCGCTGTCATCTTTCGCCTGACGCCTTCAGTGTGTAAAACAGCAACACCATGCCTAAGTCAGCTGCACTGGCGATTGGTATTGACCTGGGCACCACCTACTCATGTGTAGGGGTCTTTCAGAACGGCAAGGTGGAGATCATTGCGAACGACCAGGGCAGCCGGACGACGCCGAGCTATGTCGCGTTCAGTGAAACCGAGTGGTTTGCTGGAGAGGTCGCCAAGAGTCAGTCACTTAGAAACCCGAAGAACACAGTCTTTGATGCTAAGCGCATGCTCGGTCGTGGCTTTCACGACGAGGAACTGCGAAGAGACATGAAGCGATGGCCGTTTAAAGTGATCGATGACCGTGGAATCCCGAAGATCGAGGTGCAGTACAAGAACAAGACGAAGTTGTTTACGCCCGTGGAGATCAGCTCCATGGTGCTCACTAAAATGAAGATGACGGCCGAGGCTTACCTTGGAAAAACGGTCGCCAAAGCTGTCATCACGGTGCCGGCCTACTTCACGAACGCCCAGCGCCAGGCCACCAAGGACGCTGGCAAGATAGCGGGTCTGGACGTCATGCGCATCATCAACGAGCCCACTGCTGCCGTGCTGGCCTATGGTCTCGACAAGAAGCTGGACGAAGAGCAGAAGGTACTCATTTTCGACTTGGGAGGTGGCACGTTCGATGTTTCCGTCCTCGCGTATGCAGATCAAGTCTTCCAAGTGATGGCCACAGCGGGTGATACACATCTTGGGGGCGAGGATTTCGATCATCGACTCGTCGAGCACTTCGCAAATGAGTTTAAGAGGCAACACAAGAAAGATCCCCGAACCAGCTCCCTAGCAATGAGGAGGCTAAAGGTCGCGTGTGAAGAAGCGAAGAGGACCCTGTCGAGCACCTCCGTAGCTCACGTGAATGTTGACTCACTGCTCGAGGGCATCGATTTTGCAGGAAAGGTTTCTCGAGCCCGTTTTGACGAACTCTGTGGAGATCTTTTCCGAAAAACACTGGATACGGTTCAGAGCGCTCTGGATGATGCAAATCTGAAGAGAACTGACATCGACGAAGTTATCCTCGTCGGTGGCTCGACGCGCATTCCCAAGGTCCGCAAACTACTTCAGGATTTCTTTGACGGCAAGAAGCTGAACCTTCGCATCAATGCCGACGAGGCAGTGGCGTTCGGCGCCACGGTCCAGGCGGCCACTCTCTCCGGACAGGAGGTGCCCGGTGTGGATCTCCTGATCGATGTGATCCCCTACTCACTAGGCGTGCGGGAGGGTGAGAACAACTTCGCCAAGTTCATCGAACGCAACAGTCACGTGCCCATCAGAGTCGAGAAAGAGTTCGTCTTGGGACGAGACTACCAGACCGCGGCACAGGTTGATATCTACGAGGGTGAACATCCTAACGCGCGGAACAATCATCTACTGGGCGAGTTTCTTCTAGACGGCCTTCCGGCCATGAAACGTGGCGAAACGAAGCTCAAGATCGTCTACGACGTCGACGCTGACGGCATCATGACGGTCTCGGCAAAAGACACGATGTCAGGAAAGTCAAAAGAGATTCAGGTCAATTGCATGAGCTACATCGGCCCGGAGGAACTGAAGAAGATGCAGGAGAATGCGGCAAGAATGGCGGCGGAAGCCAAGGCGGAGGAGGAAAGACGCCGGGTAGAGGACGAAGAGGAACAGTTCAGCACCAGCCGGGAGGGAGACGGTCCTCGTGACGATGAAAGATCGGAAGCCCGAGGAAAAAGTGACAGGAGCAGTAGGGAGCTCGATGGAGGCTTCATGGAAAGGAAAGGTGACACTTCTCCACAGGCTGGACGCAAACGAAGCAAAGACAGAAAGCGCAAGAGCGACAGCTCCTCTGCAGACGACAGTGACAGCAGCGGAAGAGACGCATCACGAAACCGTCGCAGCGGAAAAAGGGGTGAAAAACGCCGAAGTGATGACTCAACACACGGAGACGAAGACGGAGGCCACGAACCTAAAAAAGACAAACGGCGAGAGACAAAGGAGCGGGAAAAGGATGCTGAGCGTAAAGGAAACAAGGACAGAAGGCGCAAGAGCGAAAGTTCCCCGGAAGGCGAAAGTGACAGCAGCGAAAGTGACGCTTCGCGAGACCGCAGAGGCGAAAAAAGGGGCGAAGAACGCAGAAGTGATGACTCCACAGACGATGAAAAAGATCGAAGTCACGGACGTAAAAGTGACAAATGGCGAGAGACAAAGCAGCGGGAAAAGGATGCTGAGCGTAAAGGAAACAAGGGCAGAAGGCGCAAGAGCGAAAGTTTCCCGGAAGGCGAAAGTGACAGCAGCGAAAGTGACGCTCCGCAAGACCGCAGAGGCGAAAAAAGGGGCGAAGAACGCAAAAGTGATGACTCCGCAGACGATGAAAAAGATCGAAGTCACGGACGTAAAAGTGACAAACAGCGAGTGACAAAGGAGCGAGAAAAGGACACTGAGCATAAAGGAAACACAGATAGAAGGCGCAGAAGCGACAGTTCCTCGGAAGGCGAAAGTGACAGCAGCGAAAGTGACGCTTCGCGAGCCCGTCGCAGCGAAAAAAGGGACCAAAAGCGCAAAAGTGATGACTCCACAGACGATGAAAAAGACCGAAGCCACGGACGTAAAAGTGGCAAACAGCGAGAGACAAAGGAGCGGGAAAAAGACGCTAAGCGTAAAGGAAACAAGGACAGAAGGCGCACAAGCGAAAGTTCCTCGGATGGCGAAAGTGACAGCACCGAAAGTGACGCTTCGCGAGACCGCAGAGGCGGAAAAAGGGGCGAACAACGCACAAGTGATGACTCCACAGACGATGACAAAGACCGAAGCCACGGACGTAAAAGTGACAAACAGCGAAGGTCAAATGAGCGGGAAAAGGAAGCTGAGCGTAAAGGAAACAGAGACAGAAGGCGCAAAAGCGAAAGTTCTTCGGAAAGTGATAGTGATAGCAGCCGAAGTGACGCCTCGCGAACCCGTCGCAGCGAAAAGAGGGACGAAAAACGCAAAAGTGACGTCTCCACAGGCGAAGACCAGGACCGAGGCCAAGGACGCAAGAGTGACAAACAGCGCGGGACAGAGGAACATGACGAGGGCAGGAGGCGTCGATCTCCTTCGCCACCTCACGATCGGCGGTCGCGACATTCCGACGCCAGTCCCAAACGGTCTGACCAATCTGAGGAGCACAAAGACTCTGACGAAGACGAGAAGCCTTCAACAGACAAGGTGGGCAACGACCTGCTGCTTACCATCGAGAACCTTCTAGAGGGAGAGCCGAACTCCTCGAAGAAGGAGCGTCAGGAGGTTCGCCGCCGGTGTTTGGGTCTTCTCGCTCAAGTTGCCACAAACCCCAACAAGGAAATTCGGTCTCGAGCTCGGGATTTACGGCGTCAGCTGGACGAGAAGTACGGAAAGGCCGGGAAGAAATCGGTCAGCGAGCCCAAGGTGAAGAAGCCACCCCTGCGTGAACGAGCGCAGAGTTATCTATGCCAGGTGGTGCAGGCAGTGCTGGAGGCCGATCATAGCGCTGATGAAGACGAGGTGGACACTGTCAACGAGATGTGCATGGACATGATGAGCTGGCTGGATGATGATGATTCTATCCGGGATAAGGAGATCCTAAGGAGGATCAGAAGGCTGAAGACCAAATGTGACGACATCAGAGGCCTGTCTGTACCAATGGACGACATTGTTGATGAATCGGAAAGCGAAGACAAACGAAGCTCTGATGTTGAAGAAGATCGCGGAAAGACTTCTGGGAGGGATTCCCGAAAAGACAAGCGTGACAAAGATACCAAAGACAAGGGAGACAAGGCTACCAAAGACAAGGGAGACAAGGCTACCAAAGACAAGGGAGACAAGAAAGAGTCTGATTATGGCGATCTTCCTCCTCTTGAAGAGGTGTTTTAGTGTGGTGACCAAGGCGTTTCGTTACCTGTGGCTGGTTGGAAAATCGTCAGTGCATGTTACTTGTGCAGTTTCACGCAACACAACTGACGTTGACTGACTGATGAACCTGAACGTCCCGAATGTTTGATTGTCCGGACTGCCAATTAAGAATTGAAAGTCGCGCTGGATGACATACCTACTGTTACTGTTACTTGCGTTACACGTTATAATCGTTTGATGCTTAGTGCTTACCGGTGGATCTTGCGTTTACTTATCTTGCCGATCTTGCTTTGGGTACGTTTCATCAGGCATGTGGCGTCTAGCTCCGAAGCTTTTGTTGCTCTGTAAAGCTATCATCTATCTATGACGACCATGTATTATAAACGTAGAGTGACGAGTCAGCAAAGTGATTTAGGTATTGTGATGCTATTAAACAGCAAAAGTATTCGGTTGCTAAGTGTGAAGTGACAAAAATAAATGTCGCTCATGTATGTTTAGAATGTGTTTGCGTTTAGTTATTTCGGCAGACCGACTCACGAGGTGTCATAACGTTTCAGTGCACAAAAAAACGTTAGATATCTACTATGTAGTGTCCAAGGCCTTAGAATGTCGTTCCATGGAACATGATAAAACACTGCTGGCGGTGTTTTGGTAGGACGGAGGCTGCTGTGGAGGTCAACGACTCAATATTCCACTGTGCAGGGCAATACGTCCGAATGTGACAAGCGACAGAATATTCAAGCCTACGCTTTACAAATCAGTCAACTGTCAACTGTGCAATGGAATTCATAAAAAGCTAATCCATATCCTACAAAATCCAATTAAATCGGTTTCTTTAATTTTATAAAACGTCTTTCTGGCTTACTGAAGGTACCGCATCTTAATACCAAACATCAACACCTTTGTTGAAACCTTTTTTATTTATCGATACCTAAGCAAGAAAAATAACTTGCGATAAAAAATGCACGGAAACGCTACGTGGCTCGAAACCACGGGGCGGAAAAGTGAGCACACGGCGGAAGCGTGCGCATTCCTTATCGGCCGGACGCAGTTGATCGACGAGCAAGTGTCCATTGCACACCGTCTGAGCCAACAGATTGGTGCACGCCGATAGTCCCTTTTCCTCGTTGCAGCTGTTTGCACACTACACGATGCAGGGGCGGATCCAAGGAAGGGCGGGCAGACATGGGCATTGGGCACGGATCCCAGACAACCAATCACGGAAATCGAGATGGCCATTAGATTGACTGTCTTCAAGAATGAAATTATGGTGGAAAACATGGCTAATAGAAGCCTCTCAAGGAGCCAACTGTTTTGCATTCCTTCAGAGTTAGGTAACAGTGCTGAGAAAATCCCTCAAGATCCATCTCGGATCTATGATTCGTGATCATAGATCCGAGATGGATCTTGAGGGACTTTCTCAAAACTGTAAACTATCAAGGGAATGCAAACTAGTTGGTTCGTTGAGAGGCATCTATGGATGTAAGTCCACGCTTAAAAACAACTAATCTAGTGGTCATCTTGATTTTCGTGTCTGGTCGTTTGGGATCCGTGCCAATGCTTTGGGGGCTAATGCAAAGCCCCTAACCAAAAAAGATATGCCGCCGTAAGGAGCCACGAATTGGGACGCCGCAACACAAGTGGCGTCCCCATAACCGTATGGGAAGGAGTTGAACCATTACCAAACACATCAGTGATAGAGATATGAAGTAAGCTTCAATTTTCACTCGGCCCAATCTTATAAAATGCCGTACTATTCTATTTACGGTATTTGGTAATATTCACAGTGACCCAGTGCTGACAAAGGGTTTTTTGAGTCAACGAAATGATTCTTTAGACCGTCAAATAACGATGGACTGAAATGCGTGAAAACCATTTTTCATTTGATCGTCGTTTTCTGCAGCTGTACTTCAGCCAGTGCTGCCATATCCGTTCCACGGCGTTTTTAAGATTGAGCCCGGGCGCCGCAATCGTATATTTTGCCACCCATGGCAGATGAGGACCGTGCCGCCGCCATAACTTTCAGACCCCTAGCCGAAAAAAATGGATCCGCCCCCAGGGCATGGTGATATAACAAGACGTAACAATTACGCTTGCCACACCACGATGGGCGGAGGACTTGCTTCCGGCACTCTGTCATTTCTAAATGCAATATCTGTAGTCATACTTTATCTTTCCACTAGTTATCCGAATCATTTGTATTACGTTAAACATATTTTACTTTGTTCCACATCTAGTAAATATATAATAAAATATCACTGTATTTACCAGGCATATCAAAATACATTATAAAATTGCAAGTCTATTGACGTCGATTTTTTATATTTATGATCAGGGCTGCGGAGCCGATGGATTTTCGGCGACTACGACTCCGACTCCGACTCCAGCTTTCAAAAACCAGCTCCGACTCCGACTCCGACTCCGGGCAGAATTGTCGACTCCGACTGACTCCAACTCCCGACTCCGACTCCGCAGACCTAGCAGGGCTGCGGGGTCGACAGATTTTCGGTGACTCCGACTCCGGCTCGGGTTTCTAAAATCGACTCCGACTCCGACTCCGGTCACAACTGTCGACTCCGACCGACTCCGACTCCGCAGCCCTGTTTATGATTTACATTTGCTACACGGGAAGCGCGGTTGACTGACGCAGAATGCAGGGACGTCCTGCCAAGAAAGCGATAGTGACGACTGGCGTAACCGTCAAATCATGAGCAATAGCGGCACCAGGCAAGACTGAGAGACGAAAGGCAGCCGCCGAAGGGTAAACCGAATGCCGGGTGTTCATTTCTGCAATGTTACGCCATGGGCGTAGGTTATGACACGGTGCAATGCAGTCAGTATAAGAACGATCACCATCATTTTGACTTATCAGTTATCACCTCATAATAAGAAAACGGCGCGAATTCAAAACACATTGACCCCCTTACGATCTAGCGAATCCTATCCGTTGCATATTACAACCTGTACGTATAAGGCATACGATGATTCGGACAGTGTCCCAAAATTTGTAGATGTGGGTGGCAAACGACATCCAAATGAAAATCATTTTCCACTCTTGCCTCCAGTTTTCAAGCCCAATTTTCCACTCCCAATTTCACCGAGAAGGAGCAACTGCGTGAATGGTTGTTTTGCATCTGTCACTATTGTAGATATATTAATGTTTTTGATCATTTTCCCACTCTTTTTGGGCCTTACCTGACCAACAATTTTTCACTCTCATTCTTTTTTTTTTTGGTCAGCAATTTTCCCCTCTGACACCCAAGCAAAAATATAATTTTGGGACACTGGATTCGGATGTTAAAAAAAACACTAACGTGTACAGGTCTCGCGGGTTTTAGCGGTAGGTTTTGCACCTAGAAAATTTAGTGTACTTCAGGCTATATCTTCGTCGTCTTTAAGCTTTTAAGTGGTGAAGATGCGATCGACTTGTTGGGTAACAAGCCGGCCATGATCGTGTAAAATGGCGTCATCGTAGATCGATTAGTTTCTGAGATATAACCGGAAATGTAAAAGTGCAAAACCTACCGCTTAATCTCGCGAGACCTGTACCTATGACCCACGTCCACCGAGCAAAACGCGCAGTTGTACAAAAGGTGTATTCAGCCTCCAACATGTTATCCAACACAGACGAGAGCAGCAATCCAACACAGACGAGAGCGGCATTAGTTGAGACCTTAGCGCACAATATAACTAGGGTGTTTAGGTGGAACTGACGAAAATTGCTCGAAACTGGACGCCATAAGCAAAGACACATTTCTTCTCGTGAGCAAACGTTTTAAATATACAACACGAAACAACGTGATCGTATGCATGAGGCTATAAGAAATGAAATGAACGGATAGTCTCAGATCCATGAATGGACAACTTTTCCTCGGGCCAATTGTAGGCATTGTCAGGTACCAACGTTAAACCAGTCAAGAGAAGCCTTCAGACACAACACGACTGGAAACTTCGAGACAAGGGCAAGACGCCTAAAAGATGACGAAACACGACCTAAGTTGTGAACAAATCGGCCACGGCCACAAAAATGTACAACGCCGCTAGTGAATGCACAGAAAACACTAGACACAGATCGGCAGAGCCATCTTTCGTCAAACGGATGAACTAGCAGCGCAGAAACCGTAGCCACCTATCGGCCACCTGGTGAACTACACATCACCCTCTGCGATGGCCAATGCACTCCGTTTCCATGGCGTCGCCGGGCGTTTAGCTATCGTCCTGTACACAAGTGGTTGATCTTTTTCATTCGTCGACAACGCTCGTGCTGTTTAGTTGTCGTCGTCCTCTATTTTTGGTGCGAGGAAGTAGCGGATCTGACCGATGTCATCGATGGCGTACTCTACCATGAGGGGGTACTCGGGAGACATCGAAAGCTTCACCTAGAAAAAAAAAACGGAGTAAGCCAACCGTCTACAAGAGAGGCTGATGGCGCAAAACTAATGTCGCAATGCTATTCGTTTCAGGGATCAAAAGCTTTAGTAGTAACTGAATTGCATGACAATGCTGGCAACGGGTGCATCGGGACCAGTGAAATATGAGTCATTTTAGGGTAAAAAATACTTAGGTAGCATGATGCCTTGCTGAAACTCACCACTGTAACTCAACTAATAGTAATGCGAGATATTTCGTCGGGAGATATTTCGTCTCTATGGTCGTCAAATGGCAGGTACGGCATCTACACGCATAGTTATCTTTTCATTGCATAATTATTCCCGGATCGTTCAAATGACCAGAAACGTAAGCCAACGAATGGGCTAAAAAAACAAAACATGTATGCATAATAAGCATGTCACCTACCTGCGCTGAGAGAGGCGTGGCCTTGGTGAAGAAGTTGAGGTAGCGGCAGGCGTAGGTAAAGGAGACCGGTTCCTGCATCTCGATCGTGACTGCCTCCTCCTCCTTGTCCACATTGGAGGACTGCGCCAGCTTTACGTTCGCTGGAAGAGAGGTCGATGAAGAAAATAGCCACGGGATTCATAAAACGCGTGCATCTTTATTGGTTTCCTTTGAAACGTCCTCTATGACGCAAATAATCACGGAACTCATAAACACGAGCATCTTTGTCAGTTTCATCTAAAAGCTCTAGAACAAATCAGGAAAAAGTCCACGATTTTTTGTTAATTATAGGTATGGCCAAATACAGATGCAAAGGCCAAAGCTAAAAAGCCATCAACAAAAACTATTTAAGTGAGTGAAAAAAAATGAATGAAAAGTGAGATTACAGACCTTCATTATCCAACACCAAAATGTTCCAGCCATCACCACTTGTCATATCCACTCCCCTCATTGGAGCTTCCAAAGAAGCTAACTTCATAAATGTTTTCACATTATTTTTAATTTGCCTATCCTTTGTACATTCACGGGCCAATTACGATTTTCTCCGCTTTGAATTGACCTACCTGAGCCGATATCACCCGATGCGGAGAACTTGACTCCCTGTTTGCTGCAGCTAATGACTATCGAGTCACCGAACTGACTCAGGTCCCGGCAGATGCGAGCGAACTCTCCAGCCGGCATCTTCACCACACAGGCGTACTCAGTCTCCTGCAGTCAGAAATACAGAGGCTTTATTAGTCAGCGGTCATAACACCGAGGTTGTTGGGATAATTTATGGGTTCTTAGAACAAGCTGTGCACATCATGCGCATGCTCTGTCTCCCGTACTGATATTATGGATATTTATGAGTGTCATGACAAATAACTCTTTTTGCTCAAACAAGTCACAAAATAATTTTGAGCATTTTTTTTCAATCTGATAAGTCTATTGAATGCTCACCAGTTTTCTAAGTAATTCACCTAGCATGCCTTTTGCTTATTTCAAGAGGATATTTGCAGTGTCAGACTAATATGGACTCTAAAATTTCTGACAATCCATGGACTGCTATGAGAAGCAGCTGCAGCCAACAGAAAGCCAGTTGAGTAGATCTGACTGTCTGGTTCTGATCAGCATGCACAGGCTCTGCTGAGCACGGATTTTGGCTCAGTTACTCCTCCAATTTACATATTTGAACTGAATCTATTAAAGCTTTCCCCTAAAAAGCAATTTAACAAAACAGTTAACAGAGAAGAGGTGATCCACTCTCAATCAATATCACAAAACATACACAACAGAGAATAAAAAGACTCACAGGAATCTGAAGATGCTCCAGGTCCAGACTCATAAGCTTCATCTCATAGTCAGACTGTTTCTCGCCATTTTCTGACTCAAAGACAAAGGTGACTGTGTCTGGGTTGTCCTGGGCACGGATTGTGACAATGTCATCATTTCCTGCACACTTGAGAATCTTGGACATGCTGAAAGAATGAAAAATAGCTGTCACCAAATGTTTGACTGACCAGAGTATGGATTCTAAATTGCTTAATTAAAAAGCTAACAGTTGAATACACATGACTAATCAAAGCCACATCATAATTGCAAAGAAACAGCACTTCAGTCAGTAGCAGCAGAACACCTTCAATTAAGGGGGGCACTGTTGACTTTTGGTCCCATTCTTTCCATGCAACGCCCATAGAACTAATGTTAAAATGCCAAAAGCAAAGGGGGGCACAGTGCCCAGGTGCCTTCCCCTTTCCGCCGCCTATGACTTAGGTCCAACATATTCACACTTCAAATATCATTGCTTCTTCCAGTGCTAGATAAAATTCAAAAATGAAGTTCTTTCAATAAATGGCAATGCCTCTAAATGAACAAAAACAGCTATAACTTCCACACCTCTGATCAATCTACACTTACAGCGTGATGAACGCCAACAAAACTAAAATCATTTCAAGCATCTTACCTTCCGAGGTTCATGCCCATGGTGAGGTTGCGGTCACATCTGTACTTGTCAAAGCCGTCAGATCTGAGGTTGAGGGAGACGAGCGAGACATGAGCGTTGTCCATGGCCTGCAGGGTGATGCCCATATCACCACAGTCCCAGGAGGCCTCTGTGAGCAGATCCTTCACCGCCTCTAAGATCTTCTTGAAGATGGCACCCTTGGCGAGACGCGCTTCAAACATGTTGGCGGCTGGGTGGGGTGAGGGTTGATGGACAAAATCTGAGAATATTGTAAATCGGGAGAAGTGAGGCACGCGGCCGCACAATGTGACAAGAAGCGCGCGAATGGACGCGGCTGGCGCCAATCGTCTAGTACACAAGTTTTGGCGCCAGTAAATGCGCCAGATTATGTGTTCAAAACATTATCAGTTTCTGCTAGCAGATGTAAAGTTGTCAGTTGATTCGTGTAAAACAGCTTGCGGCAAGGATTGCGGTGATGTTTGTTGGCTATTGAACAAACTTCAGAATGAGCAGCTTAAAAGAAAAAAAAATATCATGCTATGTAGAATATAATATCTAAGCAAGCCGTCGACGCCTAACAGCATGAGTAATCTAAAGACAATTATTTCTACCGTCCTCGGTATCAATGACCTTGTCGAGAACAGCCAATCAGCACCCGTAATCGGATTCTACTTGCATTCTACGGATTGAGATATTTGTATTGTCTGTCAAACTGGGGACAACTAAAATATCCCGTTCCATTCTTCTTCTTTCCATTTTTGCATGTGGATTGTGGTTGCGGCCGAGATACTTATAGATAGTCACGCCAACTCCGATATTTTATCACATTACTGTTTTTATTGCGTTACCACTTCGAATAGATATAAAGGCTGTGGGTATAGCGACTTTTCAGCACGCTTTTTTTCTTTACCAGCATTAGATGTACGCTGCCTCGAAAAATAAGGGGGCGATTTGGCCGACGGCTGCAGTCTGGAACTCTTCGAAATTTCGACGACTAGATTATGCTTTCATGCCGCTGTCATTCAATTTAAATGCTTTTACATGTAAGGGCTCCGCCACCAGGGGAGGGGGCTTGCGGCGTCTGCCCCCCCCCCCCGTAATTTCACTTATGTAATGCAGTCTGATTCGAATGTGTGCATTTTGGGTCGTCCCCCCACTCTGAGATTGTGGCGGAGCCCCTGTTGCTTCACAACCGATGATGGTGCGAAATTGTGAAGACTGAGGTTTTGAACAGAAAACTGCTGATTTATCCCTTCAAAGTCTTCCGAATATGTTTTTAGTGTCCTATCAATATGTTTCATTCATTCCGCCTCTTTCGAAAAGATGATCAACTTCAATCGTGTATTTGCTCTAAACCACAGCAATTCAATCGACTTTAATCACTATACCACCTGTCCCGCGCCTATCCCATTGCCCGTATTAGTTACCACCAGTTATATCACCTAATTGGTGCACAAGTGTATAAACATCCAATGGATTATGGAATCACCTTGCACTCTTTGAATTCCGACCCTATGCCGTTTGGCTCACAGCACATACCTACACTGTAAAAAAAGATTAGCACCCTTTGGGTCATAAGTCAGAGTTCAATTTTCAGTACCCTGTTGGTGCTTAATGTATGCCCCAAATGATGCTTACTCAAGAGCCCTAGATGCTAGCATTAGCACCATCTTGGTGCTCAACTTACACTCCAAAGAGTGCTTAGTTCAGAGCCATAGGTGCTAAATAGGTGCTAGCACTAGCACCGTTTTGGTGCTTTGGTGCTAAATTCACGCACCCAAAGGGTGCTTCATTAAGAGCCATAGGTGCTAAATAGGTGCTAGCACTAGCACCGTTTTGGTGCTTTGGTGCTAAATTCACGCACCCAAAGGGTGCTTCATTAAGAGCTCGGGTGCTAACATTGGCACCGAAGCACCCTAGCATGCGTCTAGCACCCAAAAATGTGCCGAGTTCAATTTTCAGCTCCTAGTGGGTGCTTACTGCCGTATGGTGCTACAGCGTAAGCACGTGCTAAGCACATGGGTACTTGACACCGACCTTCTCGAGCCTCTGGCGGAGGCCGGGACTTTTATTCGGAGCGGAGAAAACTTAGACGCATTTTGAAGAGTGGCGGCGAGGGACGTAGCCGCCGGCCGGGAGCCGAGCTAAATCGAAAGGAACATTGCGATTCTTAACCCTATTCCTGGCGGGGGGGGGGGGGGGGCCTCAGGAGCCCCCCCTTGAGGTTTTTTGGTTATATCTCCCAAACGCGTTGAGCTAGGAAGCTCAAATTTTCTGACTTTTCTTAAAAGGCTTCTACGCAACATGTCTGAAAATTTTGAGTTGATCTGACCTCAGGTCAGGTCACCAGAGGCGGTTTGGTGAGGCTACCTCAGAAAAGTTTGCAATCACGCCAGAGCTAGAGTTTTTGACCGATCAATTTCTTCTCTTCAGGGTTTAGTTAGGGTACCAGTATGTGCAATTTGTATATCTCGGAATTTTGATATCGGTGACCTAAGGTCAGGTCAATTTCGCGACCTCCCCATTATAAGTCAATGGGGGAAAAATCAACTCCCTGTTTTTACCACTAAAACGGGTCGGAATGGCCCCATATACCATACATGACTTCATATACGATCAACCTTCACTACCTTGAGGTCTGTTTTGCTGTTGGGCAGCTGTGAGGTCATGTGACGTCATCAAAGGTCACCAAAGGTTTTTGGCCAATAACTCCGTACATGAACAAGCTACAGACGCGTGGATGGTCTCATTGTGTTCAGCTCGTCAAGACGCATCGAATGATATACATGATGACCTCGAGGTCACGTGACCTGAGGTCAACCTTTGACCTTGACCTTTCGAGGTCAACATATATATCATTCGATGCGGATTGACGAGAGGATCACGATGATGCCCTTAGTTTGTTCCTATCTTGACTAATTCGAAAGTTATTCGAGAAAAACTCTCTCCATATCTAGTGCCGCCATTTTGACTTTTTCGACCCCTGTGACGTCATCTTTGACCTGACCTGAAAATGACCTTCGTAAAAATTGTAGATCTTGGCCGTGCGTATCCGATGCCGTTTACCGCTTGTCGCTATCTTGCTTCGTTCTCGAGATCTCAGGGGGGGGCCGAATCGGCCCCCCCCCCCCCCGCCAGTTTCTTGTCCCGGCGGAGCCCGCCAGGAATAGGGTTAATGCCTACCTCATGCTGCAAACACGTTTAGTTGTTTAGTTGTTTGTCGTTTATTTATGGTAATGGACATGACGAATGACGGTTATTAGAGTTAAATTTAAGCACAAGCGTAAACTTCTTAATCACAAAGTAGGGGAAGTTGGGGGAACGCCGAAGACTTTTTTTCTGACGCCCGTAGCACGCAAGGTAGACAACATACGCTATTCTTGTTGGCGTCATTCGAGAGGCCAGTCTTTTGCCTTTCAAACATACCAGGCGCATTTGATGAATTCGCATACCGTTAAGCGCACAAACTAAAAATATCAAAGAAGTGACTTTTTCGGCGTTGCCCCGGACTGCGGGGAAAGCCGAAAATGGGAGAAATGATCTACGGGGAATCCCGACATTGATGTTTTGCCATTTTATCTCAAACTTTATCCAGAATTCATCAAAGCTGACACACGTTTCAAGAGCTTGAGGACGCGGTGCACACTGGAAGTTATAATTGTGTGATATAATAAGAAAATGCCAGGTAAATCATTCCTTATAGGTAACAGGCCGTTGTGTCGGTTGAAAGTGTAATTTGTGTGACTAAAAATACGCGTTGCTATTCTACAGCAGTAAAGTCCACGTAGCGTGCTTTTAACACGTGCGTAATCGCACGTTTTCGGCATTACCCCAGCCAGCCATACTTTCATTTGCAGGCCCATAACTTTTCAACGTGCTGTATAAATTTCAAATAGGCAGCACACTTATGCAAAGACATGCTAAAGATTACTTGACCGAATTGGCCAGACAAACGGTAGCATAATGAGTAAAAAATGCAGCTTCAAAGGCGCATGTAGTACAAGGGAAACGTACCTTGAAAACGCTCTTGGCGCCCTCACAGTCGAAGTATTCCGAATGACGACTCGTAACAAACATGCGATAATTGTAGTCACTTAAGCTTCAGAGCATCACTGACAGGTGGCATCCATGTCTTACGGTTTTCGAAATATCTCGAATTTCGGCTTTGCCCCAACTCCGGCATTGCCCCAACTTCCCCTACCTTTTTACAAATTAAAAAAAAAAACAGAATATCAGCACGTCCATGCGAACAGTGCCACAGGGCCGCTCCCCTGGCATTATAACATAAGCTGATAAATCACAACATATCGGCGCCGCTATACAGGCTGCGGCCGCCGCCATGAACAGCCTCGTCTGCCGTCAACCATGCCCGTAATAGATAAATGGAAAAATATGCCATCTGCATTCTGCAGTCTGCACTGTCTCTTTCACTGTAAAGATTATAATTCATTTCATTAGCCATCAGTGATCTGTCGCCTATCTGGTAAAATGTCGACAAAACTTTGCCTTATCAACCCTAAAAAGGTGTGGAATTACATCCATAATTATTATTCATAGCACGACAGCAGGTCAGTGCAAGCCCACCTTAGCACTCCGACAAGGCTGGAAAGTTCCCACGCAGCTCCTCCATTGATGCTCCGTTTCAGATTTCAGACTCGGTCTTCATTTCAGTTAAGACGACACCCACTTCAGTATTGTTACTCACGAATACCCGTATTCGCCTACAAACGACCAACACCATCACTGTTTCTATCACTGACCGCACGCACATGGACCAACCAACCCGGCCGAGCGCTCCCGCACAACTGACTTGACAAATGCAAATGGCGTCGCGAATCCCGCGCGCTTTCTGAATTCGCTGCTTTTTTTCGTACGACGTAAGCACCCAGATGCTGAACAAGCAAACGAATTAGCACCGAACGGATGCGATGTTCCCGCCAAAATCGATGAAGCATATTTTGGGTGCTTTCATCAGCTCTGAAGTTTGATCATGGTGCTTAAAACTGATGCTTAGATTAGCACCGTCCGTGCGTTGGTGCTATTCCAAGCACCCTTGAAGCAGGGAAGTGCTTCAAGTGCGGGCAAATTGTCAATTTCGGAGCTTAGACAAGTACCTAAGAGTCTTAGACTGCTAAATGTAGAACATTTTAAGTGCAGGTTAAGCACCCAGGGCTCTTGTTCCAGAACCGCAGCATCCGACTAGCACACCGGGGTGCTAATCTTTTTTTACAGTGTACAAGCCGTAGATATAGTCGACTACAGAATGACGTTCCACTCCTCAGAAGCTATCAGTTGACTGGAGCGCTAAGTTGTGCCGTTTATCACGCAATTAATTTGTGAACTCAGCCCGTGTGATGCGGCACAGCCTACCACTCCAGGCAAATAATTGCCTGTGAAAAGTGGAACATCATTATGATTTATGTAGTCGACTATACAATAAAACATAACCTGGACAACGGGTGTATACATAGATTGATGCTTGGCAGTGTCTAACAGCGTTAGCTTTAGACGGCAGCGTTAGATTGGCGTAGCCCATCGATCGCGGCAATCTTTAGAGACCGCCGTTGAGAATCACTCTAGGTGGACCGTGTAGATGCTAGAGGTGAGAGACAATCTGAGAACCTTTCCATTCTCCAATGAGCGCAGCATCTACACTGGAGATAGGACATCCCGGTTGAGAATCTCGTTCGAGCCGCGTCGATTTAAAACCGTCGTGCAGCCTTCATCAGTCCCTTGAAACTAGCTTTGAAACTAGAAGTCTAGAAGTGAGCTATCCCAGTTGAGAACTCCTCGAGCGTCGAGACCCTCGTCGAGTTTAGAGATGGGAGACATCAGCTGAGAACCTCTCCGCGGAGAAGGTGGTCAGGTCAAACTGGCTCTTCTGACCATCCACGAGCTGCTGAAGGACCTCAGCGAATACTGGGCCCATCTTGAAGCCCTGACCTGGAAGGAAAAAAGAGAGACATATGTCAGATATCATCTAGTGTTTGTAGCCGGTAACACGAATAACTGCCATTTTTCAACGTATTTAGTTCGAGAGAGCTAAATGGTTGGTTACTGAGCCCTTGCACTACGCAGAGTACGTTTGCGCGTTTTTTGCTTCACGGAGCCACCAGCCGACCGATTAACATCTACTTGACTACTGCAAATTGACTACACTTTTATTGACTGGACTCCCGACTGCAAACTCTCGGCTGCACTCTGACTCTGACCTAGGTATTTCGACTTCCCGGGGCGACTACTCTGACTTCCGACTACTCCGACTCTGACTTCCGACTACTCCGACTCTGACTACCGACAACTCCGACTCTGACTTCCGACTACTCCGACTCTGACTACCGACTACTCCGACTCTGACTACCGACTACTCCGACTCTGACTACCGACTACTCCGACTCTGACTACCGACTACTCCGACTCTGACTACCGACTACTCCGACTCTGACTTGCGACTACTCCGACTCTGACTACCCTACCGACTACTCCGACTCTGACTACCCCGAGGCTCACCTGACATTCCGGCGGCGTAGGCGATGTTGGGGTACCGCGGGTGGACATCCAGGATACAGCGCTCGTCCGGAGTCACCTGAAAGAGACGCCACAGCTTCACCAGAGAACTATTTCATGGAGAAATAAGGCTTGTAATTACGGAGAAACCCGTTAGGAGGCAACTTATAGGAGTTGTTACAGACGCTTGTTTAGTTTCATATCAGCAGCATGACTTAATTAGACATCTAAAAGTCATATCAAATCGAATATTAATGCGTTATATCAATGTTACATAAGTGGCATTTCCATGTTATCTACAACACTATTCGTGTCAAATATGAAGCTGTTTTCTATGCTTCAATAATTAACATTTTCCAGATATAAGAAACACTCCCGCGCTCTTTTCCGAAGCCCGAGGGAATATTTTATAGCATACCGATTGCACATATAGTCTGGCAAGCCTAAGAAAGAATGGATTGAAAGTGCTGCGGCCGTTGATGCATGTGCATTTATATTGTGAGAGCATATTTTCTGCCACAACTTTTCACACAAAATTTTCCGACCCATACATTTCAACCTTGATTTCAAGTAATCAAAACACGTGCAAAGTGATTCAGGCGCTTTAACTCCGTTCTTTCTTAGGTTTGCCAGACTATAGCTGTGGGACGTTGGTCGTTAACGTACCGTATACATGCACGTCTCGACTATGGCCGGCTCCGGCTCCAGACCCGGGAAGGTCCTGGCCACGTACTCCTTGGTCGTCTGCAGTACTCCGTCCATACGGACCGTATCACGGCGATCAGGGTCGCACGGCACCCCGACATGGTAGCAGAGCTGCCGGAATGGACCCCGACATGGTAACAGAGCTGCCGGAATGGACCCGACATGGTAACAGAGCTGCCGGAATGGACCCAACATGGTAACAGAACTGCCGGAATGGACCCCGACATGGTAACAGAGCTGCCGGAATGGACCCCGACATGGTAACAGAGCTGCCGGAATGGAACCCGGCATGGTAACAGCTAGAGCTGCCGGAATGGACCCCGACATGGTAACAGAGCTGCCGGAATGGACCCCGACATGGTAACAGAGCTGCCGGAATGGACCCCGGCATGGTAACAGCTAGAGCTGCCGGAATGGACCCCGACATATGGTAACAGAGCTGCCGGAATGGGCCCCGACATGGTAACAGAGCTGCCGGAATGGACCCCGACATGGTAACAGAGCTGCCGGAATGGACCCCGACATGGTAACAGAGCTGCCGGAATGGACCCCGACATGGTAACAGAGCTGCCGGAATGGACCCCGACATGGTAACAGAGCTGCCGGAATGGACCCCGACATGGTAACAGAGCTGCCGGAATGGACCCGACATGACGTAACAGAGCTGCCGGAATGTGCGGTGAAAAGAGATGGTTTGTTTGTTTGGAGTTCCTTGGTTGGTTGGTTGGTTGGTTGCCTTGATTTGGTTGGTTGGTTGGTTGAATAGGTGCTTCGGACGAAAAGAGATGGGACGTAGGGTGGAGGTCCAGGTGTGTGGTGAGGTGGTAGCTGATAGTGATGTCAAATACGGAAAATTTGGAAACCGGTACCGAACCAAACCAACCGAAACAATAGGAAAATACCGAAAACCAAACCCAATAGTAAAACTGATAGAAATACAACTTTTCACCAGATTCGGAGTATCTTATACATAAGTGATGCTTCCTTAAATCAACAAAATACCACATGCATAAGGTTTGAAATACCAAATGACAAGTTGGTATCGGTTTGGTATCGCCTATCGGCACACCAAAAAGTTGGAATCCGATTGACATCACTAGTAGCCGAGCTCCTATATCATATTTTGTGCTTCGTTTTATTTTGGACTGTGCCCGAGGCATAAGCGGTGAAAGCTGACAGGCTACATCTGAGAAGATATGTTGTTACTTTGGGCTCCGTTTTACTTTGGAACGTGCCCGTAAACGGTAACAACTGACAAACAACTGTTCATTTGATGTTTGGTCAATAAACCGAAGTAAATGAAGTATTTCGAAAGGAAGCGTGAGACACTCAGAGACACTCAGAGACAGCTGTAATTACGAGCGAGCGAGCGCAGCGAGCGAAGCGAGTCTTCAATATAACGGAAAATCTCAGTATGAGCGGCCCGGCCCGGCCCGGCCTGTAACGGTTTTGAGAGGCTTATATCTCAGCAACCGCTGCACCGAATGGCCTGCGGTCTTTTTTGCTGGGTAGCCCCATCCCTTCTACCCCGTTATTGACTACTTTTGATACATCTCAGTGACCGTCGTGGCACGTGCCACGTGAAAAGTCAAGGGTGTTCAAGCAGTTTTGCGAAAGTAATGATTTTGAGAGGCCCATATCTCAGCAGCGGCTTGAGAGATTGTCTTGCGGTCATTTTTATAGGGTAGCTGCATCCCTTCTACCAAAGGTCGGATACTCTTGATCTATGTGAGTGACCCCCACTGCACGTGCAAAATACAACAATGAGAGGTGACAAGTTTGTTCCCATTTCAGTAACTCGGTAATTACTGGGGCGATTTCGCTGAAACTTGGCATACAGGTAGGCACCCACCAGGCAATGCATGCCCATGTGTTGCGGTTAGGGTGCTACTGCACGTGCGCACGTGCAGGGGGCGTTTCCAGATCTCGAGAACAGCTGGGCCGATTGCGCTCAAATTTGGTACACGGTTGGGGACCGGTTAGTAGGGTGCCGTGCAAAAGTCATTTTGGACCCCGTTTGCACGTGCGCACGTGCGGAATGCCGCTTCCAGATCTCAGGAACGGCTGGGCCGATTGCGTTCAAATTTGGCACACCGCTAGCGACCGGTTAGAAGGGTGCTTTGCACAAGCCCGTTGGAAGTACCCTCTCGCCCTTCCGCACGTGCAGGGCTCACTATCTCGCTCGCTCGTTCTTCGCCCAAAAGGCGTTTTACTGGTGTATAAAAGAATTACAATTTTAAAGATGTCCTGTACAATCATATTTGCTGAGCAGCACACGAATGTTTTAGTTAATCAATCACATGAATTGTGGACCATTTTCGTCTAACGAATTTATCAGCTCTTAGCAAAACTAATGACAGCCCATATCGAGCCTATACCGAGCCCCCAGCCCCGTCTGGTTACCCACCTTGACCAAACCGGGGTACTCCAGAGCAGGTAGCCAGTAGAAGTGCCCATTCTGTTGACCAACACCAGTTAAATCGATCCCCGCCAGAGGCACAGTGTATCCGGGCTTCACTTTCCAGTACGTGACTGCCACTTTCTCCGGGCGAAGAGTGCTGACCAGACGAGGAAGACCCAGAGGGGATAGAAGTCTAGCCGCCCAGGCTCCTGCGCAGACTACCAGACCTCGACAGGTGACAGAGGGTCCTTCCAGGCGCAGAATTTCTCCAGCAGTTCCCTCAACCGGTGTGATAGCAGTCACTGGAGTTCCATCACGGATTATACCACCATTTGAAACAAACAGACGCCGTACGGCTAGAAGACAGCGATCTGCTCGTAATAGCCCGGCTGAATCGTCCAAACCTCCTGTATAGCCGTCAGGAAAGGCCGCGGCTGGTAGAAGGCGGGCTAGTTGATCGCCTTGGTAGATTGTTTGGTTGGATATACAGCTGACGTACGTGTTGAATTCGTCACGGTGTGAAGCGGCCGCTACGAGCAACAAAGGGCAGTCGCTGTGGGCAAAACGGGGACACGTTTTGCAAATACAAGCGGGCGGTTGCGGCGATGAGAGGTGGAGCTTAGTGTTCTGTTTACCTTACTCAAATCTACCTTCGATTGGATTTTGGTTCTGTTGTCACCCTTGCTCATCTGTAGTCTTCATCAAAGGGTAGAAACTAGAAATATCTATTGACGTATAATCAATTCATTGCTAGCAAAAGCTGACCTTTGTTATCAACAGCTGGTCAGTTTATGTTCAGTTGAGTTTTCTTTATTCGTACGACATAACTTATATATCACTTAATTATATGTTAGTCGTACGTTATTACTTATTATTTATAGTTATTCCTACTTATGAATTATGATGTCACTTCATGGGTGTCGATTTGTATACCTTTGGGGGTGCTGCAGCACCCCCAATGCTCAAATGAGCACCCCCAATGGTTTTCCGGGCACCCCCAAATGTTCCAGTTTAGCATCCCCAATGATTTGGTCCCTCAAAAACTCCCACTAACTCTGCTTGAGGAAAATAATTGGTTCCGCAATCTTTCACTACTAAAAATAAAACAATTACGCAATTTACAATGCATGAAGTAAAGATGTAAAGAAAGTAAAAGTTAGTCTTAAGAAGAAGGGCGTAAAAAGACGTTAAGTTACAAAGACACTGGTGTGGGTCCGTCGTAGACGGGTGTCGGACCCCTAGAGCTGATGGCGTGTACCCTTTACAAGCCGGCAGGGGGCTCCAGAGACCGGCGACGGGCCCTCAGAGGCCGGCAAAGTGCCATCAGAGGCCGGTGGTACCTTCAGAAACCCTGTGGGGTCGTCTCTAGAGACCGGCACGGGCTCAGATGCCGATGGGGCCCTCAGAGTCGCCGGTGTGGGGCCTTCAAATGTCACCGGTGGGTGGCCATCACATGTGCACTTGTGGGGCCTTCAGAAGCGACGATGTTGGGCCCTCAAAGCCGCCGATATAGGGCCTTAAGAGGCACTATGTGGGGCCCTCAGATATGGCAATGTATGGCCCTCACAGGCGCCGTTGTGGGGGCTCTCAGAGACACTGGTTTAGGGCCATCACAGGCGCGCGTGTGGCCCTCAGAACTGCTGTTACGGAACGGACCCTTCATAGGCCGACAAGAAGATATCAAGAGGTCACCGGTGCCATCAGGAGCCTTGTGGGGTTCTCAGAGACCGGCATGGCGCTCTCAGACGCCGCTGGGACCCTCCGAGTCACCTGTGTGGGACCGTCAGGGTCGCTGATAACTGACAAGGGCCCTCAGAACCGCCCATGTGGGGTTTTTAAATGCATTGGTGTGGGGCCTCAGAGTTAGGGGTGTGGGGCCCTCAGAGACGCCGGTGTGGCGCTCAGAGGCGCCGGTGAGGGCCCTCACAGTCGCCGTTATAGGGGCCCTCAGAGAAATAGGTGTGGGGCTATTACAGGCGGGTGTGGAGCTCCCAGAGAGCTCCCAGAGCCCCCTAACCCAGCCAGCAATTTGGTTCGGCGCAAGTCCGTTTTGCCCCGGCAACTCCGACATGCCAGACTCGGGCCGGTATAAAAGGAACGCCGTCAGAGCCGGGGTTTGGGTCGATACGGCTCTATTCCGGTTAGCCAGTCTTGGCCGTAGCGCTCCCGGGTTGGTATGGTTCCGGACCGCCAAGTCTGGCTCAAGTCCGGCTCCCTGCCACGGCTCAAGTCCGGCTCCCTTACGACCAGTCCGGCTGCCTCATAGCTGCTCTGGCTTACTGTGGCTGAAGTACGGTGGAGGTTGTACGGCACGGCTGATGCGGCATAAGTCCGGCTGTGGTGCGGGCGAGCTCCGGGATCGTGTCAGCTCCAGTAGAGCCCCAGACCTTGCCCGTACTTTAGCCGGAGCAAATGCCTGAGCTATCCAGAGTAAAACCAGTTACGGCCAAGGCCAAATTTGCTGGCTGGGAATAGGCCGCTTAGGACCCCCAGAGTCCGGCAAGTGGCCCTCCGAGGCCGGTAAGGGGCCCTCAGAGGCTGGCTTGGGCCCTTATGGAGATCTTATTGTTGATACTTGTGGACCCATGAGGTGTTTTTACGAGCCCTGTGGGGCCCTTCTGAGTCCAAATATGGTCAACATGGACCCTTATCGGCCAATTGGCGCCGCAGGGCCCCTCAGGCCCGAATAACCCGAGGGGACCCTGAACCTGATGGAGGGGGGGGGGGGCACGTGCCTCACGGGCCCACCTGGCTACGCCACTGAGGAAAATCGTAAACCTGTAAATATCCAAATGCGATCACCTTTCATTTTTTCAGCGATTATTGTGATCGTCTAATTACTGCCAGAGCATCGTAGCTACCGTTGTCTCCGCGCAATGTCCGCCCCTGCGGACCGCAGCGACTGCTGCACCGGTGCTAATCGCCGTCATCGGTTTCTGTCACCTTTTAACAGAGGTGCCGGGGCTGCTGCCATACTGCCGGCAAATATACGACTTTTTCGGAAAGATGTTTATGTAATAAGGTAGCCAAGTACTAGGGCGAGCGGAATGATTTTCAAGAAGAACGTTCTGCCCTTGGGAAATATTAGTGGAAATCTCGGCATTATCAGTATTCAGTACCTTATGGGGATAACCAACCCTATACGGTTGTGCCCCATGGCAAAGCTGCAATCTTTCACCCGGTGCAGGGGTTGAGCACCCCCAACCATTTTGAAAAATCGACACCCCTGTGTCACTTAGTACTTCATCAGTAGGTAAACATTTTCTTTTATCTAAGATTGCATGACTTGCGAGGTTCCTATAATGAGTGTGGTCTGTGGAATAAATGCATGATTGATGAATTGAATAAATAAAAGAACCGTTTTACCAAGACAATAACGGCCCCAAATAAATATAAAAAATTCCGTCATAGCTCACACGCAGAGCGTCTCGCCGGCACTCTGTTCCAGATCTCTCCAGAGCAGACGGGTCCTTCGGGCCATGTTAGCCTGCTCCACATCGCCGTAGGCAGTCCGTATAATACGGCTCTGTCCGTGCGAGCTACCACGGGAGTGGGGCAGTGGAAACTGAAAATAGAGCAGAACAGAACAGAACAGAACAGAACAGAACAGAAAAGAACAGACCAGAACAGAACAGGACACACCAGGAGAGAGAGAGAGAAGAGAGAGAGAGAGAGAGAGAGAGAGAGAGAGAGAGAGAGAGAGAGAGAGAGAGAGAGAGAGAGAGAGAGAGAGAGAGAGAGAGAGAGAGAGAGAGGGTGGGGAGAGGGGGCTCGTAAGGTGACAATGATGTTGACGAATTATACAAGACGGTGGATGAAATTGAAAATAGAACAGAGTTGGACAGAGTTCACGGTTGACAAACCTAGATGGATCGAACATGTTCTACCCCTTCAGGGGACATTTAATGGTATGTAGTTGACTGAAGCCGTGGACGTAGCCAGGGGGGGGGGGGGGAGCACGGCGGCCATGGCCCCCCTGAAGGCGAAAAAAAAATAAAGATAAATAGAAGCAACTGCATGCCCCCAAAAGTGTGCCAAATCCGAGAAGTTTTCCTTTTGGGAGGGGGTACGACACTAGGCCGCGATCTGTGGCCCCTCCCTGAGCAAAATCCTGGCTACGTGCCTGGAAGCATACTCCTAGTTGAAGTCAGTTCAGTATGCACCATTATAGTTGAAGTCAGTATGTCGCTAACCTGATCAATAAGCAGCACACGCCGATGTCCGGCCTTCAGCAACTGGTAGGCGGTGCAGGAGCCGATGATGCCCGCACCGATCACCACACGATCATAATCAGCCGGTGGGTCGGACATCTGTCAGATGTGACAGACACGTAGCCCGGCGGGTCAGACATCTGTCAGATATAACAGACCGATAGATAACAGTAGAACATAGATAACATAGATAACATAACATAGATAGATAACATAGATAGCCTAACATAGATAGATAACGTAACATAGATAGGTAACATAGATGGATAACATAACATAGATAACATAGGTAACATAACATCGATAACATAGTTAACAGTAACTAGAATAGAAAACAGTTCTACTGTTATCTATGGGCAGACATATAATAGGCCCAAAACAGATCTGTCACAAACATGACATGATTGTGACGGACCTATAACACACCCACACTGGTCAGTGCCGGTAAGATGACTCACGGGAGACTGAAAAGCGACCCAACGTTAATCGCTCGTGTCTTGCTTGAAGCTGAATGCAGATTACAGAATCATAGTCGGCTTCGGTCGGTGATCTCTCAGATACGAAAGAACTACGACAGGCTCATGAAAGATCTATGAAAAACAACGATGAACCTATGACAGACTTTTGACACAATTGCTGAGATTGGGAGACGACTGCTATGGCAAACGTCTCAGTGTGTAGGGCAATTGAGCTACAAGTTACAGCGGATCATAAGTTAGCCAGGGGACCCGAAATCTATCAGATACGAAGAGCTGACGCCTGACAGACATAACGATAGATCAATGACAAATTTTGGGTGGACCTACGTAGGGCTGCAGAGTTGGAGTCGGATTCGCTCCGAGTCGGCAGTTATGACCAGAGTCGGAATCGGAGTCGAAATCGATTTTGCAAGCAGGAGTCGGAATCGGAGTCACCGAGAATTCATCGACTCCAAAGACCTACCAGGGCTGGGCAGTTGTAGTCGGAGTATAAGTCGGTTGGAGTCAACAGTTCTGCCCGGAGTCGGAGTCGGAGCTGATTTTCGGAAGCCGGGGTCGATGTCGAAGTCAGAGTTATTGACAACCCATCGACTCCGCAGCCCTACACCTACGACCACCCCTGGCTTACGACGGGTAAACGTCTCAGTATCCAGATCATTCCGGCTATAACCGGTTCTTACCGGATCGGTAGGGAGCTCTGAGTCAGGAATCGGATCACACAACACAAACGGACACGTGCAGATTTTGACACACCTGCCACAGGACCATGAAAGAAAGACCCATGACTGACCCCAACAGACCCCTGGGCTATGGCAGACCCGACAGACCTATAAGAGACCCGTAACATGCACACATGACATAACACGTCTATGGCAGGCCTATGACAGACACGACAGGTAAAATACGGGCAATCACACCACTATACTCACCTTAAATCCCTCGAAAACCTCGATTGCCTTGAACACTTCAAAGCCTTGATATCTCGATGCACGTCCAGAGATACGCCTATACACCGCCTATACTGACTCGCTATCTCCCATGAGACTTACGTCCCGAGAGCTAATATAAACCAAGGTTACCAGGCATATAATAATAAACAGAGGTTCGAACCTCGAACGTCAAGCAGACAGCTGACTAGTCAAATGTCAAAGTCATGCTTATAGACGGACGAAGGTTTGGCGGTTCGCTGTGACCGTTTTAGTAAAAAGGGTTGATGGAGGATCTCGAGGTCTGGGTTTGGTAGATTTACCGTAGCCTAACCAATCATGTTTTTTACGCCTATGGGTGATACCGGTCCAACCCTCGCCGTTTTACCGCTGAGCGAGAGCTTTGACCAGTTTGTTTGTTTGTTGGGGGTTAGGGGCGCGCCGACTACGAGGTCATTTTGCGCCCATAACATATATTTGAATTACGTCTCTAATTACTTACTTATTTACGTGTTATGCTTAGGAAAGGAAAGTAACGGGGAAATTGGCTGCACAGATAAAGGAAAATATGCTACCGTTATGGATCCAGCGCGAGTTTTCTGAGAGAAGATCTAAGAGAGTCACTGTGGGCGCAAGATGCCCGAGGTGGTGTGACCGCATCGCGGCAAGCCGGCGGCACGTCAGCAGTACATGGGCCACTGAGAGCTGCTCCCCACAGTGGGTGCAGTTCGGTCTTTCTTCACCGCGCAGCAGATAGCCGTGAGTAGCGAAGGTGTGCCCAATGCGGAGCCTGCAAAGGGCAACTTCCTCCTTTCTGCTCCTGCGCGAGCTGGATTCCCAGCGACTTAGAGCCGGCTTGATCTCCCTGAGCTTACTGCTCAGCTGTGCCTCCCATGCCTGCTGCCACTGGGACTGCAAAAAACGACTGACGGCGTGGAAAAGATCCCGCGCCGGCAGAGGAAAACGGCGAGTGCACAAAGCTGACATAGCACGCCTCGCGGCAGCATCGGCCAGTTCATTGCCAGCTTTGACCAGAAAACAGGCGTTTGCACCATTTCGAGACGTGCTTGATGGTACACAATATGAAGGTTTCAGGTGATGCAGTGACCTTTGAGGTCTGAGGTCGAACACCCATAGGTGATGGATGTTTAGTATGACACGGAGTCCGTGTTTAGTGAGTAATTTCCCATATGTAGCCTCAAAGCAATGACTGACAATTGACACCATCGTATTTACCATATGAAGCCGCTTCCAATTATATGCTGTCTTTGGAGGACAACTTGGGTGGTCAACTAAGGCCAGGTCAGGTCAAAGAGGCAACACCAAGGCCTCTCGGAAACGTTTATATTTAGTTGAAAATGATACAACGTGTCTATGATGAACCAATTTATTTTTCCCTGAGTCTCTTCAGCTTCCTTTCCATTTTTACCTTCCCCCTGATAAAAACATATAAACGCCGTTCGTTTATTTATCACCCTTTTTCTTCCACCACGAATAAAATATTTATAGATTTAACGACATCGCAAACACATCCACACAAACACACACGCACACACAAACGCCAACAAGCTAAAGCAAACACGCTTGGATACAACTCGGGACATCAATGCACCCCCAACCTAGACGAGAACTACGTAAACCGTAGTGGTATCGGATCTAACTCAGCTGACACAGTTCCCATTCCACGGCGGAAGAGAACAACATAAGCGGTATCGCCATCCAGAACTAAGGCGATCAGCTGACGATGCAAGTGATCATTCCATACGAACAAACAGAAAATTGACCGTATTTTTTCCATCGCTGCAGGCCTTACGTAGCTGGGCTGTACGGGTCACGGGACTATATCTGATAGGTGATTCGTCGAATTGAATTGCCCCGTAGACAACAAAGTGCTGTGCAGTAATAACAATCACATCGTGCGTGAACCACTCAATGTGACACAGACACGAGCACACATATATGACGGTGCAATAAATTAAAATAGGTGACGTCTCTTGCGAAACGTCAGCTTTTTACTTAAATTATGTACAATGACTGTTAGCTATATCTTAATTTAAGGCTGCTAAACCATGGGACAAATATTCTGCACGTTTAGCCCTGTAGTCAATTCCATCAAAGCTTCGAACCTAGCGATGTCCAGATACCTCTAAAATCCCATCATGGAATTTCCCGAATGGAAATGTTAGTTCACATTTTACAGACCTTCCACCAAACATTTCGCCAAGTGTTTGAACCCACAACCCACAAAAAAATATTTCAGCTGTTGCCATGCCAATGCCTCTGTTGGCCATCTTGCACCCTGTGTACTCTCGAACCACCACGACTTGGGTTGGGCATGGCAAGCCCGGTGTACAGTTCGAACTTCGAACCCGTCAATACGTCTTCTATATAGCTGATGCGTTCCGTGCGAATTTGTTGAACGAACGAAACATTTTGCGATATTGTACACGTTTCTGACAACTAAGCCACCTTTGAACAAACCAGCTGTTTAGGTGATCATTAGAAGCATTTCACTCCTTGCATATGCTATTTCGTTCTTATAGCAGTATACCTAAATCAGAAAACCAACCAATCTTCACAAATATTCGGTCTTTGACTTCGAGCTTTCAGAGGACATTGTAGATTGATGTTGGCGATCCTGGCGGCCGTCAATTAACTAGTAGTTCGAAAACCATTCCATAGATGTCAGGCTCGTCTCGTTCAATGCCCCAGAAAGTCCGAGCCCTGCAACGAATAATGGATGCCATAAGCGAAAACCATAGACATAGAAACCTTATTCAGACATTGCGGGATCAAAAACTTATTACTGATTATCAAACATGAAAATTTCATTAGCATTTTACCATAGAAACAAACCGCTAGATTGGCGCTTCATACGAAATATTTGTTCGCATTTATTGCCGTTGCCAATATATATTAACACATGGTTTCCCGTGTGTAAATGGTTTTAACGCACGACGTGGATGGATTGGAGCACGAGTGTGTTAATGCACGAGTGAAACGAGTGCATTAACACACAAGTGCTCCATTCCATCCACGAGTGCGTTAAAACCATTTATGCACGGAAACCATGTGTTAAACTAATTAATACATGCTTAACGGTGCGAATTTGAATTAAAATTTAACTTAGTCGATGACACTAAAAGGGCCTTTTATGGGAATTCTTAGAATAAAGTCAATGACCCTTCCGAAAAACTTCAGTTGAGAAAGTCATCACTGCACGAGCGTGCACCAATTTAAATTGGTGCACGGCTACCTTCGAATTAACGCACGGTTAATCTCCAGTGAACGCACCGTAAAGTATGTATTAATGGCAATTTATATCTCATCCCATCTAAAGGAAATAATCTTCTGTATACGCTAACTATGTAATATTTTTTGCGAGAAAACAACCATCATTCATTCCTGCTATCGTATTCTACACAAAGTTACAAATATCCTCATATAGGATGATAAATGTAACCCCGACCCACATCTCTATATCCTCACCTCTGCGGCCTCCATCCTAAACACCGGCAGACCGCCCGCCTCCGATGACGTCACACCCTGCTGCGTGACGTCACTGGCGTCCGTCGCCGCTGGCGTCTGCAGCGATGAGCTGTCGGGTAGAGGATGGTTTGGAGAGGAGGCAGAGGTTGGGAGCGAGGCAGAGGGGACGGGGGAGGAGGCGGGAAGAGGGACTGAAGGAAGAGAGGGAAGAGGACCAGTAGGTAGAGTGGAAAGAGGAATTGCAGAGAGAGAAGGAACCGACGCAGCTAGCCCAGGAATAACAACAGGCGATGCCACGCTACCACTCGAAGCCCCACCAACCCCAGGCTCATAACTCATACCTTTATGAGTCGATCCGCTGCCAGGGCTGGAAGCCGGGCCTCCCTGACTCAAAGCCGAAGCCTGGACAGGATTCGATCCCGGACTCTGATTTGCACCAGCCAAAGCCTGAGCCGGAGTAGGAGCCGGAGTAGGATTTGAGGCAGGAACCGGTGCGGCCAAGGCGACACCAGGTATAGCTCCGGTCTTGGTGATACCTCCTACTAAACTATGTCCAGAGCCGGTTGGTGGGAGGGGTTGGAGGAAAACGGGCCCCGCCGTGGGAGGGTGGGAGGTGAGGGAAACAAGGGAGACCGGGGCTGGGGCACTGGGTGGAGCAAAGGGGGAGGGGGCGGAGAGAGCAGGGGAGGGCGAGGGGAGAGGTGGTCCAAGGATGATACTGGGAGCTGACGTCATCAGCTCCTCGTGGTGCAGCGGACTGAGAAAGGGGAGAGAGAAAGGGCAGAATGTCAGAATGAGGCCTCACATAACTGGTCAACATTCCGTAGCCAAACGAAAGTGCAAATAAAGTGACAGGCGACACGACACATATATTTTAAGATAATCGTGTAAGATTGATAGTCAAAGCCCATTATAGGGTCTCAGTCCACCCCACCATTTGTTCCATTCAGTCCAAACCCAACAAATTAATGAATCCGTCTAAGTCCGCCGCAATGATGAGGTCCATTTAAAGTCATCGCATTTCTGAAACCTTTGAAGCCCCATGTATGCCAAATGTACTCGTCATCAAATTATAACATGGAACTTGAATCACGGAAGCACGACATAAATTGTTCAGGTCCATTAATAAATCATTGAGGTTCACCTTAGACCTATCAGATTATCGAACCACATCCTAGCCCATGTAATTCAAACCCTTTTTAACTACGTTGAATCTCATCTCCATTTCGACATCAATCCTCACCTTGCCGGTCTGATCTCTCTCATGCTGGCCACTGTCGTCTCCGCCGTGCCGACTGTTCCTCCAACACCAGTAACACCAGCCGCACCAGCCGCAGCACCAGCCAGACCTCCAGTGCTAGCACTAGCACCACCGCCAGCACCAGTGGTGACACTAGCTGGGGCTCCTCCAGTGGAAGCGGAGCCCGCGGCAGTGCCAGTGGGGACGGCGGCTGGAGGGGCGGGCCGGGACGACTCCTGGGCCGGCCCAGGCGCAGCTGAGGCGTGGGATGACTTGTTGATCTCACCTGAGGGCAGGGAGACGGTGGGATAATAATGGTGTACCGAGTATAGAGGTGAGGTTAACAAGAGTCATTTATTGATGCTTATTGGTATTCACTAATGTTTATTGGAGGATGATTTATTTTGTGAAGACCTCGTTCCTTCAGTGACACATGCAAGAATGACAGATATCCCTGTAAAACCCCATACTATCCCCGTAAACCCCCACACTATCCCCGTAAACCCCATACTATCCTCGTAAAACCCACAGACTCACTCGGTGGATGATTACTGAAGACCTGCTCCCTCAGTGACGGCAGGAAGGTGTCTATCCTGTCCCAGGTGATGGCCCACAGCTCGCTGTAGCCCTCGGCGCTGTGGAAGATGCCGGCAGTCTCCATCACCAACAGCATGTTCTTCATTGACTCCGGGATCGCCTCGTGCTGAAAAAGAGAGAAGAGAAACAGTATAAATGAATGAATGAATGAATGAATGAATGACTGAATGAATGAATGAATAAATGAATGAATGAATGAATGAATGAATGAATGAATGAATGAATAAATAAATTGATTGATAGATGGTTTAAGAGTTAAGACTCCGGGATCGTTTTGTGATGAAAGCAAAACAGCAGTGATAGAATACAAGAATGAATAGATGAATGAATGAATGAATGAATTGTTACACTCCGGGATCGCCTCGAGATGATTACAAACGAAAGAGCGTAAATGAATGACTGAATGAATGAATGAAAAGCCAAATGAATGGTAAAACTTCATGATCACCTCTTGCTGAGAAAAAGTAAAATCAGAATGAATAACTGCATGAGAGTTAATCTAACAAGACATAAATTCATCCGTCACCCTTTCCGGACTCTTTCCTTTATCACCCCCCTCTCTCTCTCTCTCCCTCTCTCTCTCTTTCCCTCCCTCCCTCCCCCTCTTACCAGCAGATCGGCTCTATCGGCCTGCAGATATTTGTCCATAAAATCCAGTATCGTCAGCCACAGTGCGGTGAATGTCGGCAGGGACAGCAGAGGCGTCAGGTGCTGCAGGAACACCTTACAGAGGAGAGTCGCCGCTCTCATACGGGTCTCCTCCATTCCAGCCGCCGTGGAGGGCTCCAGGAGCTTGGCGAGCAGTGGGAACAACACCTGTAGAGAGGGGAGGGGGGGGGGGGGTGTTAACGTACGGGAAACAACACTTTGGGAATCTCACAGTGGACAATGAATCAGAGAACAACTTTACTTCTGATTGAGATTTATGTATTAAGTGGGCCACAACATAAACCTCGACGCCTTCTTCCCGACCCCAAATAGCCTTGATTTTTCTTTAACGGCAATAATCGGTAAAAAGTTTAAGTCGAAAATGATTATCTGTCGGGGGATAATTGAAGTCAAGTGCCCTTGGTGGTAACAGTTGCACGGTAATTCACATTCGGGAAAGGGGATTATGATCGGGTAAATTCACATTCGCGAAAGGGGATTGTAGTCTGGTAAATTCACATCGCGAAAGGGGATTGAAGTCGGTTAGTTACCTTGTGGAAGCAGGCCTCCCACTCGGCTGGAGAGAGGGCCTGCAGATCGTGTACCAGGAGAGACCGCTGCAGGTAGGTCACCGCACTGGCGCGTACCTGAGAGGAAAGAGGGGAGAGAGGGGTCAGCACAGGTCAAACAAGAGTCGAGAGAGGGGCGGAGAGCGGGGTCAGCACAGGTCAAACAACAGTCGAGAGAGAGAGAGAGAGAGAGAGAGAGAGAGAGAGAGAGAGAGAGAGAGAGAGAGAGAGAGAGAGAGAGAGAGAGAGAGAGAGAGAGAGAGAGAGAGAGAGAGAGAAAGAGAGAGAGAAAGAGGGGGAGGGGTCAGCACAGATCAAACAACGGTCAAGGTTGGGTTGAGACAGCGTCACCTAGTCAGTAAGAATCGTGTCAGGTCATCTCACGGTTGTCATGGGCCCTGACAGTTCACCAAAGGTATTCCAGGTCGTGTAGGGTCATGATTGATTATTCAAAGAGTCATTATGGAGTCATAGTACGGGTCAACAAAAGCTATGGTGGGCTACAAAAGGCAGGGTCACGACATAGGTCAATATTACAAGTTATCAATGATCGTTTCGAGTTACTGGGGGCACAGGAGTCATCAAACGTGAACCAAAGGTCAAGCCAGCCAAAGGTCAAGCTGGCTCGTCAAAGATTATCAAACGGTGACTACGGTCGGTCATGGCAGGTCAGAACAATGGCTACCAAAGGTCATAGCAGATCACCAAATGTCACCATAAACCCCATGGAGGTCATGTCCGACCACCAACGCCAACACACATATCTCATCGATTCACTTCCTAGCATGTAATCGCAGGTTGTTTGAAATAGACAACACTATTCGTTAAATTGTGTTTTCCATTGAATCGTCGTACCCACCTGTTTCCGGGAGTCACAGCACAGTCGAGCGATGCCCTGTAGGAGAGGACACCAGCCCGCCTCCCATAGACTATCCACGGCATCTTCTCCATCCTGTCCTTGCTCGCTCTGTCCTTGCTGGGAGTGTTGTGGGTCCAGTTTGCGCTCAAAGCTCCCGCCGCTGGATCCACTCGGAGTGGTTGGTGTTCCGAACCAGCCGAAGATATGAGCGGCACGCGTGTGGAGCGTGTGCATCAGATCCAGAAGCTGGGAAGAGAGAAAGGAGAAGTTAGATGGAAGGTGAGCTCCTGGAATACTGATGGAAGAATGATACGATTGCAGCAATCCATTTAATGTACCTTATACGAGCTACGCTTTCAACACTAAGCATCGGAAACCGTTACACAAGACAAAAATTGATGCGATATCTTCAGACTATGAACTACCAAATTGGCAGTTTGCTGTTAAATGGGCAATGTTTATTACCTCAAACTAGCTTCAAACTTCTACATAATATTGCCTAAAAACGTAAATGGTTAACAACACATGGCCTCATTCAAAGAAAATCTATATCTTAAGGCTGAAACAGACTCGGCGTTCAGGAAATCGCATGCGAGAGCCTATTCAAATACATTATAATTATTCTCGCATCAATCGCATCCGGGAGGTGCGTGCGATTGATGCGAGCGTGCTTCCATGTATTTGAATAGGCTCTCGCATCCGATTTCCTGACTGCGGAAAGAGTCTGTTTCAGGCATTAGCCTAATGTGCATTGACGTGGCATCCGATCCGTATGTATGTAGCGATATCTTCAGTTTTCACCTAATCTATGTAGCTGCATCTCCACTTCACTCTCACTCTACCGACAACTCCACTCTTATCTAGAACGTCTCTGGCTCAATCTAGCCACATCTCCACTTCAAATCTATCAACATCCCCATACAATCTAACAAAATTCCCCACGCGATCTCCCACCATTCCTCAATACCTGAATGGCGATCTGGTGGTACCCGGCCGGCAGTTCCACCTCGGAATCACTCTCATCCGCGTCATACTCCCTGGAGTGTCCCGCACCGGTCTGGTGGCGACCCTCGTCCCGACGACGGACCCGGCGCCGGCGACCCGCGGATGAACCGGTGGTGGAGGTGGTGGTAGAGCTGATGAACGGGGAAAGGGGTGGGTTAGGGAGTGTAGATTACGTTGTTGAGTTAGGGAATGTAGTTTGCGTTGTTCATGTTTAGTTCTGGTCACTAATATTATGGTAAACACTAAGCATCATCGTGGCATAGGATAAAGATTGCGTTGTCCATGTTCAGCTATGGTCGATAAAATCATGGCAAACAGTCCAATAGGCAATAACATCGTGGCAAACAATAACATCGATAATGAAATGACAACAAAAATATGGCGTATCATATTGCTGTAGCTTTTAACAGCCCGTGGCTGCTTTACAAAAACCTATTCAGGTGATTCTAATTTCTTCACTTCTATCACACTCTCTCTCTTTCTCTTCACTCTTTCTCTATTCCTTTTCCTCTGTAGGTTCTTTCTTTCTCATTATTTTGTCTCTTACCACTCAAGTCACAAACAATTCCAAACCCACTATTACTCTCCTCCCCCATTTTCGCTCCTTCCCTTCTTCCATTCATTTCCTCTTCCCTACCTTTCCCACTTCCCTCCCTCCCTCCCTCCCTCCCTCCCTCCCTCCCTCCCTCCCTCCCTCCCTCCTCTCTCTCCCTCTCTCTTACCGTCCTCCCTGCTGTTGCTGCCTCTCTCTGCCGTGCAGACTAGCCTCCACATA